TTAGCGACATGACTTTGTAACACTCGCGCTTCTATTGGCTAGTGCTCCAACACATTGTACGTGATAGGCTAAGGGGCGGGACATCTCTAAGCGACCAATCACAACAGAGCCGTCTGTTTTTAACGTCTTCTCTCGTTTTCCACCTTGTTCCTTATTGTCACATTGTTTTTATCCCATCAAAGAAACGTTTTGACTCCTGTAGGCGCCTCCTTGTACCTGATTGGTATTTGAATCTCAGCTCACATAACATGATGGGCAACAAAAAGTGAAGAAACTCAAGAAGAAGAAGAGTGTGGAGACACTTTTCTGTCACAGAACTTGTTTGTACTTTAACAGAATTAAAGTTGTTGACTGTGGAGGAGGTGATTCCTCAAACTCACAGCAAACCAAATGGCTCCATCACAATACAGTCCTGCTAAACCAATAATCCCACATCAAATGTTCTCATTAACTTGATTACAATCCCTCAACATAACATTTCCTCAGACTTTCAAAAAGGAAATGACAATGAAAATCATGATGAGCATTCGTTCTCTGTCACATCTTTCTTTAAGGGGATCCCTCTCAATCACAAGACCAATAACTTATTTACATAACAAGCTTGAAATAGACATGGGCTTCTCAAACTCCGGACCGAACTACAAATCAATCCGGACCGAACCCTGTGTCCCATTATAAAAAAGAAAAAGGCAGGCAAGTGCTTGGACCAGAAGGGGGCCCCCAAAGAACGTAGATTAAGAAGCTCCACAGCAACGACAACATGAAACACCCTTTAATTTACTGCAACGACATGTCGGGAAACCCCCTCAAGGCGGCCCCATGCATAGCGCGGTAAGAAACTGCTTCTTAATTTCAGTTTTGTTGCTCCGCTCCGGTTTTGGGGGGGGGGGGGGACCTGTATAAAATTCACAAGTGGACCTTTAATAAAAAAGTTTGAGTACCCCTGAAATAGACCCTTCATATTTCCCCTTATTGAAAGCAATCTGTTTTAAGGGACTAGCTGCCGAAAAACAGAAATGTTACTTAACACACATTTAAAGTAACACTTACAGTGTTTAAGGAGATTTAAAAAAGGAGATTTGTGAGAAAATTGTGAACATAAGACGTCTGTAGAGTTAAAGCAGCAGCAGCAGTTCTTACCGTTGAAGGCGACGGCGCGGACGTGTGCCAGCAGCTCCTTTCCGTCGATGTTGGCCATGCGCGGGCAGAGGCCGGGGAATCCGGAGCAGAGCTCTCGGTGCATGTGGTGCAGAGCGTGGGCCATGGCGTACACGGCGTCCATCACAAACTGCACCTTCCCCTCCTGCTCGTAGGTGGAGTCACGGCCCACCTTCTCCAGCGCTGAAACACACACAGAGCGACGGTCAAACACAGAAGATGTAACATTCGACTGTAAACACATTAAAGGTCCGCTATCATACTGTTTCTCATCAATATATCACAGGTCTCAGATATATCCAGAGCCTGTCTCTGATTGGCTGAAACACCAAACAGATCATTACAGCATTACCCATAATCCCCTCTGTTTCAGCCCTGTTTCCAAAGTGCTGATTCTCTGTCTGTTACTTTAGATGAAAATAAGGAGCCTTGGGGGGTTACCTTGGTTGCTGATTGGCTAATGGCTACACAAGACAAAACATCGTTATGACATCATAAAGTGGGCAAAATCTGATCAGCTCATTTTCAGACTGGTTTTTATAGAAATGGATCAAAAAGAGAGAGAATCTTTATTCCTGAAACTTTCAGAGTCTCTTTCCACAGAGGGGACACATGGTGATGTAGAAGATACGTGAAGAAGAGGGGACACATGTTGATGAAGAAGAGACATGAAGAAGAGGGGACACATGTTGATGTAGAAGAGACATGAAGAAGAGGGGACACATGTTGATGTAGAAGAGACATGAAGAAGAGGGGACACATGTTGATGTAGAAGAGACATGAAGAAGAGGGGACACATGTTGATGTAGAAGAGACATGAAGAAGAGGGGACACATGTTGATGTAGAAGAGACATGAAGAAGAGGGGACACATGTTGATGTAGAAGAGACATGAAGAAGAGGGGACACATGTTGATGTAGAAGAGACATGGAGAAGAGGGGACACATGTTGATGTAGAAGAGACATGAAGAAGAGGGGACACATGTTGATGTAGAAGAGACATGAAGAAGAGGGGACACGTGTTGATGTAAAAGAGACATGAAGAAGAGGGGACACATGTTGATGAGAAGAGACATGAAGAAGAGGGGACACATGTTGATGTAGAAGAGACATGAAGAAGAGGGGACACATGTTGATGTAGAAGAGACATGAAGAAGAGGGGACACATGTTGATGTAGAAGAGACATGAAGAAGAGGGGACACATGTTGATGTAGAAGAGACATGGAGAAGAGGGGACACATGTTGATGAAGAAGAGACATGAGAAAGTGGACTTTGCATGACAGGTGACCTTTAAAACACACGTTGGATTGAGATTGAAAGTTAATTCAAACTCAATGAGTGTCTTGAGAGACTTTGAAAGCATAAGACCCAGTATTGAGTAGACCTTGTGCTTCCAAAGTCAAATATGAAGTTGTATTTGTAATCTTAATCTGAAACCCAACATGTATGACAAGACTTTAAAGGGGCCCCGTTATGCTTTTGGGGGGGGGGCTTCCTTTCCTGTAGTGTGTTCTTTAGGTTTTTGTGTCTGGTCTGCAAAGGATATAATCCCAGAGTTTCTCTCTCCCCACACTCCGTCCACCCCGCCTAAAACGCCTACTTTGGATTGCTTTATTTACTTCTGGAATTGGTGACATCACTATGTAACACTCACGCCTCTTTTGTTTTGTTTAAAACCAAGTATTGAGTGAATCTTGTGCTTCCAAAGTCAAATATGAAGTTATAGTTTTAATCTTAATCTGAAACGCAACCTTTATAAGAGGACCTGAAGACCTTTGGGTGTGTTCTTTCCTGTAGTGTTTAATATAGGTTTTAGTGCATGTAAACGGTCTGCAAAGGCTAACATCAGAGGGAGTATCTCTCCCCCCCCCCCCCCACCTAAAACACCAAGCTTGTACACCTTCATTTACTTCTGGAACAATGTGACATCCCTATGTAACACTCACGCCTCTTTTGGCTATTGGCATTCAAGCACTTTAAAAGTCACAGTAGAGGGAAACATGATGAACCTTAACATTTGCAGAACGGGGCACCTTTAATGTTCTTGGATGAAAACATTAAAATGTCAGTATTTGCTCAATTTGAGACGACAACTGCTCCATTTGCTGATGAATATGATGTAATATGATGGAAGGACACCTGTAAACAAAGGTTATGTTAAAAGATTAAGAAATTGACCCAATGTGTCCCTACTGTATGCCATCTCTCTATCGAACACACCAGTCCTATAACAACCCATGTGTACACGTGGTTGACTCCTGAGGTGGTCAAATCCTAAATTATTTCTGGGTTTTCGGACTCGTTTCTGCACCACACCATAGCTGGTGAGAATAGACAAACTAATTAATCATCATATTTATATGCTCTGCTTAATGAGGCACAAACACAACAGGCAACACCGAGAAGGTAAATCCTGACGAACAGCGAGGCCTGTTAACAAACGTTCCTAAACTCAGAGTTTCGTCCTTGCCACCGGGCAGAAAAAAGGATTATGGGAATGTGAAATGAGCCCCGTTACGGAATAACTAACACATTCATGTTAAAAAAATACATTTTGGCTCCGTCTCATTAGCCGTGGTTAAATAACAGAGTGTCGAAGACGTCGTCATCTTTTATTTGAAAACTCTGGAAAGTCTTTTCCTAAAGATTTTCGCAGAGTAATTCGCGTTATTAGAGCTCACGCCGCCGGCTGCGAAAAGAGAGGAGGAAGAAACTAAGTGCTGGACTGGACCCTCCATCAACAGACAAGACCTTTCTGAATTAATAGGGGCTTAGAAATGAAATCCAATTTAATGTTAATAGCAGGCGGGCGGCGGGGGATCTGTCCGAAGGGAGGCATTTCTGCGGCAGTAAAGACTGATTACACGTCTGTACGGCGGTAATAAATGAGCCTCGGATGTCAAAGAACCGAGGCTGCAGATGATCGCTGCTCCCAGTAGATGATCAACCTCCTCAATTTTTAAAGAAAACATATGTTTGATCCGGGAAAATTCAAATGGAGCCTGAATGCAGCGTTTCGAATTCACAAGAAGCTCCGACTCAAAGAGGGTTTCACATCTGCTGGAGAACAGAGACGTTCGGAAACAAGCAGGTGTTCAATGCATCTTATTTGTAATCTAATCTGACTTGTTTACTGCACTGTTTCTCAAATAGAGATACCTGTTCACCTAGGGATACTTTAGAGTTCTAAGAGAGGTAGGTCAGATTTTCTTTGGATGCTACTTCAAAAACAATAATAATACTACGATGGAACTTGTTGTAAATGAACAACATCTTATATTCTATATTCCTGTTTTCATTCGGTGCCTGGCATAAACAGTGAAGTGTTGCAACAAACACAATTATGTTCATGTTTACTTTTGTTCAATGTGACAAGGAAGTCAGATTCAATGTGGAATGACAATTACCAGGAAAATTGAATTATGGCTGAAACGTTGCAGCAATACATCCATGTTTCCACTTAAAGAGCACATATTATGGTAAGTATCAGGTTCGTAATTGTATTTAATGCCTCTACTTTGACATGTTTACATTTGGAATTGTTTATTTCTACTTGTTAATTTCTATTAATGTGCAATGTCTTGTTTTTTATGCTGCTGCAACGAAAACAATTCCAATTTGGGATCAATAAAGTATATCTTATCTGTATGTTTACATGCTTTAATGTTCAAAAAGCTATTTATTCACCCTCTGTCTGAAACCAGAGCCCAGTTTGCTCTGATTGGTTAGCTGGCTGGTTCTGTTGTGATTGATCAACCGCTTAGACATAAGCCGCCCCTTATCCTATCACGTACAATGTGCTGGAGCACTAGCCAATAGAAGCACGAGGGTTACGTAGTGATGTCACTATGTTAAGTAAGCAAACAAATGAATCCTATGGAAAGCATAATAGGGCCCCTTTAATACAGTTAGAAGCTGATATATCCACCAATTGTTTTTAATAAGGTTCCACACCAGCAATATGGTCAAACTTAAATGATGTACATAAATTGTAACATTAACATCTCGAGAAAAGGAGCATTTAACATCCAGTATTGCTTATTAAATTACAAATAGACCAATAAGTCCAAAGTCAAAACCAATAACACAAGTCCCAACAAGGCAATCAAGTGCAAGTGCAGTAAAACAAATCTTAAAAAGCTAAAATATTGGTCACACTATTGAAATTAATACTATTTTATCAGTTCCATTGTCGTCTATTTACACATTTGTACTGAGACCACTTTGAGAATGATAAGGAAACAGCAGAAACTGTTCCAAATAGCTACTTTATTTGAACATAAAATCCAAGTGAATTACTACGTATCTTCTCTCAGTGTTTTAAAGCAAAACGCATTCATCCATCAGCCTTAGATAACTTATGAATAAACATGAATCCTGAGAGGAGTGAGCAGCCTGTTTGCCATGTGGCGACCTGAATGTCTGATAGTTGATGATGGAGAAACAGAAACGCTGAGTGAGGCGAGACAGACAGCTCCATCACGGCTGCTGGCATTTCAATTACACATCACTTACACGTAAATGTAATTCCTTTTCGTCGTGTTTCTGTTTTCACTTCGCTCTCTTTCTCTCTCGCAGGCATCCGTCTGTTTCAATTAGATTTGTAAATAAGATAAACGGCGTAGTAATTACAGAGGTTACCCGTGATGGGATGAGTTCAAGAGAAACGAGCTTTGGGGGCTCACACGCCAGAATACATTTACATGAATGGAGGTTTCTTTTTTCATTACTTCTGTTGTTTATCAGTAACGTCAGTCTGTGTCAGATTAATGATGATGTTGCTGCACGACGTTGAGTCATAAAAACACGACAGAAATGTCTCAAACATTCATCCTGCGTGAATGAAGACCGTGTTTTAAAAAAAAAGAATTTCTGCTTGATGCTATGTTCAGAAAGTAATTTGCATAAACAGCGTGACACATGGGAAACATTTAATCACTGAACATGAATCATTTTAACAGTCACTACAAAGTCCATCAGCTAAACAATGAATCTTGTCCATGACATTTAGCATCTGCATTTTATTCAGATAGTTTTTTCTAATTTAAGTAAAAACAACTCTGAGTCAGACCTGAGTGAAGGTAATTGTTGTGTTTAAATTACGAGTAGGTCTCAAGTGTTGCCTATGAAGTACCGATTTAAGTCCAGAGGCACCATCAATAACCAAGTCAAGACTAACAA